GTATGCTTCTTGCTTGAAGAATCTGTTGAGCTTGATCATTGATACTCCTAGCGATACTGAGCATTCCCGTAAAGCTGAGGTACAAAAACTGAAAGATGAAATCATGTGTATTGAAGAAATTTCATTGCACAACAAACACAAGCTTTAAGTTTACATAAATCGTACTTGTTGAATTGTAAAAGTTTAAATTTATCTCTCTATCAAATAGATGAATAACTAAATTAGGTCCCGTGTCATGCACGATAATTTCACTACATTTAATCAATAAAAGAAAAAAAATTGTATTAAAAATTAATAATAACACATATAAACTACAACTATAGCATTTTTATTATCTTCTTATTTTGTGTATACGATGAAATGAAAAATGAAATATAACGAAAGAGATTATTAGACAAATGAGTCTATTAAAACTATATGTTAGACCAAATGAGGATTTTATAAATTCAATGATAAATTAGTATTAATTTTCTTTTTATTACACTTAATAGTCCGTAATAATACCCCTGATTTTAATGATAATTAGTCATATTTTCCTAAAAAATGATAATATATAAAATTATTAAATTAGGGATACAATAACAAATTATAAAATTGTAATTAATCAAATTTTCCTACATTTAATTACATGCATAGATAAAGTGTTTATAGTGTTATGCTATGTTGTTAAACTCCTTTCATTCCTTTGAATTAAAACTCCTTCAGTTTGATATGTTATTCATTTTAGAATTAGGCGAGAAACCAATTAAAGTATTAAGAAAATTAATCTCGTTACTAATAATAACTATTACAATTTGTGTAGTATGGATCTATTATTTAATAGATTCATCATTTTAAATATTGTTAAAAAATTAGCTTCTTCAAAATATTTTAGTCATTTTAAGGATTAAAATATCGAAGTATTAAACATATGACACACAGAGTAATATTTTTTAAGATGTATTATCCTACAAAGTATTATTAAAATACTCCCACAGTTACATATTACTCGCAACAATTACTAAAAATGGTCGTTACATATTACTCGCAACAAATCAATTTTTTTTCCCTATTATAGTGAGTTTTTATGTGATATTTTACAAACTTACCTTTACTTTTTTTTTTTAAACACCCTAATTAAACTACTAATTTCATTTTATTAACCTAAACCTATCATTGATTAATTTAACCATTTCCACCAAAATCATCATCTTCCATCTAAATTCATTATCACTTTCATTGGCAACCACCACCACTACCACCGATCTCCCTCTATCTTCATTGGCAACCACCACCACCACCACTACCACCGCAACCTTCTATGGCTTCTATGGTGACTGCTACCATCGCCGGAAGTCACCCCGTTGTGTTCTTCCTTGTCGCCGCCTTCGTTTTCTCTCTTTTTCTTTTGTTGTTGTTTCTTCGTTGTTGCTAAAGCTCAAATTTAAAGGTTTTATGGAAAAATTTAAACCATCAAAACTCTAGATCTAGCGTTTTGATGGTTTAATTTGACCAATAAAAGTTTAATTTTTCCAAATTTGACTTTTTTTGGGGTTTGAATTGAATTTCATTGGTTCGAATTTGGTGGATCGTTGGTGGTTCGACTTTTTCTAGGTTCGTTGGTTGTTTGGTTGGTTGTTCGAATTTCCTGGGTTTGTGGGTTGGTGGTTCGTTGGTTGTTTTGGTTCGAATTTTTAGGGTTCGTGGTTCGCTGGTTGTTGGGTTGGTTGTTCAAATTTTTCTAGGTTTGTTGGTTGTTTGGTTGGTGGTTCGAATTTTTTGGGTTCTTGGGTTGGTGGTTTGAATTTTCAAGGTTGGTGGTTTGAATTTTTCTGGGTCCGGTGGTTTGAATTTACTGGGTATGGTGGTTCAATTTTCTGGCTATGTTGGTTCAAATTTTCTGGGTTGGTGGTTCGGATTTTCTGGGTTGATAGGTGGTGGTGGTACGGTGCTAGGTGGTGGTGGTTGTGTGGTGCTGGGTGGTTGTGTTTGATTTTGTTTTTTTTTTATATGTTTTTTTTTTGGGGGGGGGGAGGTGTGGGGGTTAGATTAATACTAAACACATGTCCTTATTTTTCATTAATTACACTTAACATCTTTTGCCTAGGAGTCTGCAATTCTCATGTTTGTGGCGAGTAATATGTAATGGAGGGAGTATATGAAAAATCGTAAAGGAATGTATTTATTAAATAAGATATGTACTTCCTCCGTTACGAATTACTCGCAACAAAGAGGTATTATTTGTGAGACAGAAAATATTCCTTTGTTGCGAGTAATATGTAACAGGGGGAGTATAAAACATTTGAAATAATATTATGATAGTTATATTTTATACTAAAATTCTCAAAAAAAAATTATCAAAAAAGTAAAATGTTTTTGGAGGGAAAAAACGATATCAGGAATCGATACATGTCATTCTTGGCGTCTCTTTTAGTATTATATTATTGATTGTTCATTTTTTCTTGATTGGAAGGGATGTATAAATATTAAGCTAATCTGGTATCCTAATTTAAAATATACATTATACTCTTAAAAGTTCGATTCGCTTTGTATGAACTATGGAGGTTTCTTATTGAATATTAGTTGTTAAAAAGACCTCAATTAAAACCTTAACTAGTTTAACTTTAAACTCATAAACGCTACGAATCATTCAGTGTCCTTAGTTGTTGGTTTCTCGGCTTCTGTCTGTGAAGTATCCGGCTTTTCGTTCTACTGGTTCGTTCTCGGCTTCTCATCCCTTTTAGGGTTGTAAGGGTCTTATTTCGAGGTTGTCCTTACTGTCGAAGGGGCTGTGTTGGAAGGTTGGTTCGGGTTCTCGAGTTCGTATTTTGGAGGATTCTTGGGTTCCAGGGGGACAAGTTCATTTTAAGGATCTTTCGTCCGAGTCGATTGGACCGATTCTTGGGTTCCGGGGATGTCCTTACTGTCGAAAGGGCTGTGTTGGAAGGGGTTGTGTCTTCTTTACTTGATCCGCGTTCTTGCGCGTAGGATGCTACTATTATTTATGGGTCGTTTGATTCTAGCTCTGCAGCTAGAATTCTTTCGTTGGATAGGCATGTGCGTTTAATGGATGATTTTGTATACTGGAAGTTTACTAGAGATGGTGTTTTTACAACGAAATTTGCTTATGCTCTACTTTGAGAGCCTTGGGTCATGTCAGGTAGTCCATCTCAAATCTCTCAAGCATGGTGGAGGAAATTCTGGGCTTTACCAATTCTTCCTCGGTGGGAAGTATTTGGTTGGAAATTTTTTCATGACGCTCTTCCTTTGGCGACTATTCTTAATTCTCGAGGCCTCCCTGTTGATCCAGTTTGTGCCTTTTGTCATGTGGATGTGGAATCTGTGTCTCATACATTCAGAGATTGTCCTGCTATATGTAGTCTTTGGCTGTCTGGAGCGTTGGGCATTCAATGGGGGTCTTATGCAGTTTCCTCCGTTTAGTATTTGGTTCTCGAGTACAATTTCTCTTTATTCGTCTTCGAGAAATTGGAAGGGCATTGCTTCGTTATTTGCTCTCCTTTTGGGCGATTTGGATTTCTCGTAATCAATTGAGATTTAGGAAAGTTGTTTGGTTCCGTGGGTGGCCTGGCGTCAGATTGGGTTCTTCATATTATGCAGGCTCTAGATTGGAAGAGACTGGCGAGGTCCTCTCGTTCGGTTAGTTTGGAGGCGAGGCAGGAGGTCAAGTGGTTGTGTTTGCGGGGGTTACCTTATATTTCTCCAACAACTTGTTTGATTGTAGACGGGGCCTGGGATTGTTCTACTTACAGGGCGGGAGCAGGCTAGGTAGTCCGTGATCTTGATTCTTTTGAGGTTTTGGGAGGTGGTTGTCGGGCTTTTATGGCAAGTTCAGCGTTGCAGTCTGAGCTTCAGACTTGTATATGGGGCTTGGAGTTTTCTATTCGTAAAGGTTTTTTGAAAATCTGGATTTATAAAGATTGTGCTGCCCTCCTTGCTCTTCTTCCTCCTTCTGATTCAATGGAAATCTCTAATTGGTGGCTCATTCAGGAGTTGCGGGCTTCTGTTCAGTCTCTTTTAGTTTGTCAGGTTCAAAAGTTTCCTCGTTTGTGGGTCAATCCTGTTCACTGGTTGGCTGGTGCCCAGCGTCGTTAGTTGTATTTTCTGTTTTAGTTTTTTGGGTTGACAGTTGTTGTTTTGTTTGTTGTTCCTTTTATTTGATACCACTTTTAATTCGTTGATGGACAATTTAAGGATAATATATATATGGCACAATCATAGACATTAAAAAGTATTTATTTTTAAGCCAAAAATGATACTTCCTTTGTTTCTTTTGCTACACTTTCTTATTTTAAAAATTGTAATTAGTTGTAACACTTTTTTATTTTTGATATTTCTTTCTCTTTATTTCTCTCTTACCCATATGGGTTTCTCTTATTTTTCTCTCTACCTCTCTCCTCTTAAAAAATTGTCTAAGAGACTATAAAAATAAAAGTGTGGCAACTTAAAAAACGGAGAAAGTATTATATAAATTTCGAAATTATATGAAATGCTTTGAAACTAAATTTAAAATATTCTAAAAATCATAATAAAAAAAATTACAGTATTATCAAAAAATAATTAAGAGGATGAGGCCATGCTTATATGCTACTTGTTTAGTTTAGTAAAAGTCTGGCTCCTTTTTCGAGTGTTGAGAACTTGAGATAAAATGTCTATAATTATGTTTTATCTTGTTATTTTGCATAGAGATAAATTTGTTTGAAAAATCTAACTTTTTTCCTTAGATTTTGATTTCACAATTATATAGAGATTGTACAAATAGTAAACTTGGTTAGAATTTTGAGCCCAAAATGTTTTCAAGCTAAGCGTCTTTGAATTGTTTTCTTACGTGCTTTTTACTTGGTCTAAGCTAGAGATAAATCAAATGTATTTCATTGCCTAGGAAACACAAGCTCTAAGCTTACATAAATCATACATTCATACTTGTTAAAAAAATTGGTTTTCAATTCAGCTACTTCACAATATTAACTTTAGAAATCTGAAATCGTAACACATTGTTCGTGTACAATAAGAATCGGTTGCAATACTTACAACCCTTGAGTTACTAACCCTTGACATTGATATTCTATCTACAATGTTGGATCAATTCATCTTCTACAAATACATCAATGTATTTTACCCTAATCATTAGCTCACAAAGCAATTCAGTCGTTTTATTCGAACCTCAGTTACTAATCAAGGATGTGTAAAACTTAATCTATAGAAAAATAAAAAGGCGTCGAACAACTGTACTATATTCTACAAAGATTATACATACAAATTAGTGATAGCATAGAACAAGTGAACAACTAGTTATACATGAAGAAGGGAGGAAGGAGTCAAACATAGCCTATTCTGTTTCACTTATAAGAAACAACTTTTGACCATTTTCAATCATATCTACATCCAGAATTTTACCACCATCTTCTGATAATATACATGAACCTGTAAGAAAGTTTAACTTTTCTGATGCCAACCTAATCAACTCATCTATTGTACGCGGAAGCCATAAAACAATCCCTGGTTTTCGGTTTTCTTTTGTTCCCCATGGGTGGAATGGGAAGACTGTGCATTTCTTATGGAGCTTTTTATCTGCAAGCAAATAAAAAAAGTTAACAATGTGTGGTTCTACATATCAATTCACAAACAAAACAGATTTAATTCAGAAAAAAGTGGTTTTATATTGAAACAATGATCAAATGTTTGATTATTACCAAGCATTTCTTCACTGTGATCAGAAGATTGAGACAGTTGAGCAGCTTTTGCGGCTTCCAGTAGCTTTATCAAGTTCTTATTTCCACACATCCATGCTTCATCTAATGGTGTGTTACCCCATCTGTAAAAATTCACAATGTATATGTATAGGTAAAAATTACCTTAAGAGATTATTGCAAGATCATATGATAGTTCTAATCAGTTTATGTTTAAGATATCGAACTAGTGTTAACATAAATGGCTATAAATTGATTTAGGATTACAGACAAAGCTTGTCATTAGCGTACAATGTATGTGTGTGTCGTTACCTGTCTTTTAATGTAACATAAGCTCCAGCCTCTACCAATAGTTTCGCCATCAAATATAATCCTTGAGAACAAGCAACATGCAGTGGAGTTCTATGATCATAATCTTTAGAGTTTGGATCCATTCCATTAGTCAAAATTCTTTTCAGAAATTCGACATCCCCACTTAGAACAACTGTGCAAAGAAAAGAACCAACATCTTTGACATCGATTCTGGCCTTTTCCTTGTATAACAACGCAGCAACTTTGTCATGTCCATTTTTGACAGCTTCTAACAGTGGTGTATTACCAAAATTATCTGTTGGGAGAGTGCTGTGTTAGAAAACATGTTGTTTAAGAACAAATAAAACAAATCAAGTTGGTTATATAGATAATGCACCTGTCTTGTTCACATCGGCTCCTTCTTCAATAAGGAAGAGAACAATGTCTTCGCATCCTCCTGATGCAGCTATATGCTGTGGCCAGAGGAAGTTTCAACATTATCAGTTTATGTACAAAAAATATTACATATTTATACGATGCTACAAAATCACTGTTGGTTATCAAGAATCAAGCATTCTGAATTTCTGATTATTTGAAGCTACAAATCCACCCATTCTGCCACCAATATTTGTAGTGAAATAAATCCAACAGAGCTGACCTCTCACTAGGTTGGGTTCTAATCAACTTATATTATCTGAGTGTATCTCAGTTTATCTAAACTTATTAGACCATATTGAAACTTATTTTAGTTGTAATTTGAACTTGGGTGACGTGATAAAAACTTATTTTTCCTGAACTTATATTATCTGAACTTATTTTTCCTGAAACAAGTGAATATAAAGTGATAGAAAAAGGCTGTATTTCTTCCTGATACATTTATTATTACATGCTTCCAATATACAGTTACCATGTCACTCAGACATACAACAAAGTGCATGACATAGATAGTGGAGAGGGTGAACTTTGCTTTTCATTTTACTTTTAGTATATTATCTTAGAGATGTATTTATATTTGCCCAAATTTTAGTTGGATGTATCTATATTTGGCTAAAGCTGAGTGTTACAAACTACTCGTACATGATAGGTGCGTGTAAGTGTACCTGAAAACTACAGGGTAACACAATTCTATTATAAGTAATCAAGTATCATACCAGCGGAGTCCTTCCATTGTAATCTGTCTTCTTTAGATCAGCTCCGGCATTAAGCAAACTCTTTAGCTGATAAAGATCTCCATGGTGTGCAGCATTATTTACTTTGAGAGCAAGTTCTGATTCTTGCTTTGCTATGTGAGATGCAATATCAGATTCAACTTGCTTCAAGTTGTATTTTCCATTATTATTACCCTGCATATCAAATAGTAATGGTAGACTTATTACTCGTGCACTTTCGTACCAAGAAAAGTTTAAATCAATTAACCTCCATGAGCATAATTGATAAAAGTATATGTAAACTAAAGCTGATCTTAATACAGTATAAAATGAGAATTCATTTCAGAATGTTTGAAATCCCCCATTACCTCAAGAAGATTGTCAAAGATTTTCTTCCCATCATAAAAATATATGTCAATAATATTGCTTAATGACTCTTTGTCAATCCGCAGAAGCCGACACAGATCAATAACTCGGATAATACTAGGCTGAGGAACATTGCAAAAAATGGAGATTTGTCCAAAAGTGTTATTTGGTTCAAGACGAGAAATTATCTGTTCTGATCCATCTTGCCCAATGCCTACCTCCTCCTGTAGAAAAAAGAGCAGCCGAAATATTGCTTAAATCTTGCAATCTGTATCCAAATTCTAATACTCCTTTTTATAAAGAATCAAAGATGAAATAACGTGTAAATTTAATGTCTTTTTCAAGAAATAAAACCCACATGTGAAGCTAATTGTTCATAGCACACTATGAATTATAGCTATAGTTTCGCACTAGATGATATATTGAAATTATATACTTTAAAAATCATATACGAAGACACGAAGTATGTAGTTTAATGCTCGATAATGACATGAGGATAAGAATATTTACGAACATAAATGTTGTGGATAAAAGAAAATGCAGTAACAATGCAGGCATACCAGCAATCCATGACAGATGAAATAAAGTTGATCTACCACATTCCCTTGCTCTAAAATCACTTCACCGGGAAGGAAAAATTCTTCGTGGACTCTAATTACCTGTAAAACCATGTACATAGATTATCCATAAAATTCAATATCAATGAGCAGAGACTTAACACCGTAATATGCAAGCCTGAAACACGCTAAAAGATTTACAGAAACAACATTCTTCAATGTTACTAAAGATATGCATGAAGAAGCTCATGAATTATTTATCATTGTGCATGCAATATCATCACGAAAGTGCAAACTCCAATTAGTTATACTTACTCAAAATGCATAAACAGATGAAATAGCTTAAGACCAAACCTTAATCTCCAATTAAAAAAATCTCCCTGGTAAATTATAAGAAGCATGCTGATATATATCAACTCATATAATCAATTTATTTAACTTCATTCTTTTTCCTATAAATTAAGAGTGACCTTTGCACTAATGAATTTTTTTTAGAATTGATGAATCCTATGTATGAATCCCATGTTCAACATGTATCAGCAAAACGCAAGTGTGTTTGTGCTACATGTAGCATCAATATGTTGTACAAAACATCTCGATTTTATACATGAATAATATGATTCATATCGAGCTCCTACATACTTTTTACTAACAAGATAGCATAATATAGGTTCTATTATACATAATTTTAGCAAATTAAACAAGGAATTAGGAAATGAAAAGGTGGACTTGTAAGTGCTAATTATAGCCATGGATATTTTATATTTTTATGCATTTCTAGCTGAAACATCAAGAATGCATCAAAAAAGAGGATTGGAACTTACAATCTGATTGATGAACTCTGGAGAACATCCTTTAAAAAGAGGGACTTTTTCAATGTATGGCATGTACAATGATTGGGATATCTGCATAAACAACATAATTAGTTTACTTTTGATAATAAACAACAAGAAGTAAACATTAAAACATATAATTGATGCTTTTCTTATTTTACATTACCTTAGCTCGAAGTGATATGGGAATGTCCTGCAGAACAGAAGCCTCAGTATAGCTACTTTCATATTGTAAACGCAGATGACCTTTGATCTGATTGCGAAGATCCCTGCTAAGCCTATTTCTGTTCATATATTTCATCACTTCTGTCATTTTATCCCTGAATCGTTCTGTTTTCGAGCCTTTAACTATCAGTGCTGTCATATTACCGATCAGATAAGCACCCAAAATCATATCAAAAGAGACATAAATCATAATGAATATCATTTCCCTCATATTAACAGCATGAATGTCCCCATAACCTGCAAGATAACAGGATCATCGTTTGTTGAAGCCAATGACTATATATTAAGAGTAATCTAATGCAGGACAAGTAAATCCGACTGAAGAAAGACAACAGTCTGATGACATTATAAGCTGAGATTTAAATCGACTTTGTTCTACACTTGAGACATCAAAGGAGTAGCTCACCTACAGTAGCCATGGTAACGATGGCAAAATATAGAGATGTAGTATACCTCCTCCAAAGATCAATCTCCCTGAAATGGGAATAACTATAGTCTCCCAAAGTTAAACTGCCAATCCATGTGTAACCTTCTTCACGTTCAGGAATCGTCGTGGCTAAATAATAAAATATACAAGCTGCTGTATGTGTGCAGTAAAGTTCAACTGTAAGAAGTTTTACAATCCTAGTAAAAAGGTAGTTGATCCTTATATCCTTCTCCAATTTCTGAAGGAAAAAATGTATCTTACGTACTCGACACAACCTGATCCATAGCATGTATCTCACAGCTTCTTTTCGATGAGAAGCCTGCACAAATATTTTGTTTTCAGAACAATCAAATTTTTGGATCCTGCCATCATTTGTAAGCTAAAACAACACATGATATGGGGAATTGTTTCAGTATAGCAGTACAAATTCTTAATTGTAACAGCATGTTTATAATAAGAAAATTGCTTAAATCATATTTTTAAAGTTTACATTTTATAAACAGAACTATTTATGCAGCATAAATAAACTCTACAGCAGATGAAATTCTAAAGGAGATAGAGTTTGTATGGTGACTCGTGCTTGAGCTATGAGTCAAAAGCCCAAGGACTCTATCAAGTGAGATTATAATCGAAATCCATAAAACACAAACATGACATAATAAAGAAAGACAGTTAGAAAAAAAAGATGATTACATAAGAAAATACCTTATAAATAAGATCCCAAGGCAAACAAGCGAGCAAATCCAAAACAAAAGTAGATTTCAAGTACCTATTATAAGAAAAGAGAATAATATAAATCAATGAGCAACAATTTTCATTTTTTTATTTTTTGGCTCAAAATTTCAAGACAAGAAAAAAAAGGGACCTGAAGGCGATAGCAGGACGTTGGTAGACCATACGGTAAGTTTGTTTATCTCTGTATCCGACAAAAAATTGAAGCACGATGTCCATAAGAAAAGCAACTTGACCAACAATGTCTAAGACGAACAAGTTCTCTGGAAGTCCCCTGAAGAACCCAAACTCCATCGGTGTAAAGAATGAAGAGTAGATTGCCCATAATAGTATGATGTTATCCCATGCCTTATACCACCTGCAATAGTACAGCCACCATTGTGACAACACTACTGTCAGTTCCTAGTGTATGTAATGCATGGCACTCCAAAACAATTTTCTGCTTGGTTTTAACATGACAAAACAAAATTGAATAAAAATTAACTTACAAAATTAGGTAAAAATTTAACTTACGAAATATGTTGAACGTGTAACATGCAACTATGTACTACGTATAATATTAATCCAATTCAAATTAACATGTAAAGGTTTCATGATTTCCTCATCTGAATTTTTTTTTTTTAAGAACTATATAGTTTCCACAAAAGTTGCTTACATTACTTTGTTCTACAAGATTTATGTACCAATTAATGTAGACAGAAATCCATCTTTTGGTCTTGTGTATCCACCCTAAAAATTATATCATTAACGTAATTAACTAGCTGGCATCTATACACGTAGTATATGGTAAAAAAATATCTAAAGAGATAGGAAAGTTAATATAGTTCTACAGGAGTTTCAACTTATATAACCATTATTATATGAGCATTTCATACAATGCATATGCCTTATTCAGGTTAGTTTTTCTAGCAATGTTCTAACATTGCATTGGTTATGAAAAATAAGTCGTATATTAAAAGGTTTTTTTTACCTCCTCGTGAACTTCATTAGTTATGTTTTATCACTTTAATGAATAAAAGTTTTACCGGAAACAAAACTAAAAATTGGATTTTGTCGATGTTTAAACTGACTTACCATGTAAATCAATTAATTATACCGATCTTGCGTGTTTTTGTCATGAATTCCCAACCTAAATCCATTTTTAAAAGTTAATTTATTGCTTATATGTTAATGAAGCAGGGTTATCTTGGTAATTCATTCAAGAGAATCAAATCAGTTATGCCAGCTACTTAGTGCCAGCCTCCTAGTGTGTCTGTTTTATTCCTAAAATAGGAGAATCTTTACCGTTATTTTTTTCAGATTTCCTTTGCTTTTTCTCTTGCCTTATTGTATATATTTGGTACACTGTACTCAGTCCAGAGTAATGAGAATGATCAGTTATTCCTTCTGCAAAATTATATTTTTCATCCCCTTGCATCAGTGCTATTGTTTTGTCATCATGGTATCAGAGCTATGATGCAACATCGGGATTGTTGATAGCAGAAGAATATCATCCTCGTTTGTTTTTGATTTCAGCTGTTCTTCTTCTCATATTTTTATTCCTCTATTTATCTTCTCTCTTCCTTTTCTTCTTCTTGCTTCTATTCTTCTTCTTCATTTTTGCTCTACTGGCAGCTGACACTAATAGTGTGTTGTATTTACACCCTAATGATGGATCTTACTCCATCATTGTTGCAAAGCTTAATGGTTCTGCAGATTACAGATCCTGGAAACGCTTAATGGAGATAGCTCTCTCAGCTAAGAAGAAAGTTGGCTTTGTTTTGGGAACTGTTCTTCGATCTAATTATGCTGCAGATCCTGTAAAAGCAGAACAATAGGATACCTACAATGCAATGGTAATCTCTTGGATTCATGCATGTTTATCTGATACTATCAGAAAATCTGTTTTATTTGTTAACACTGCTAGAGAAACATGGATTCAACTTGAAAAACGCTTTTCTATGACTAATGGTTCTAGGAAGTATAAGTTAAATAAGGATTTGTATAATCTGAAACAAAATGGTAGCTCTATAAATGTTTATTTTACTAGCATGTCTAGTCTGTGGGAGGAAATAGATGATATGAGTTCATTACCTGTTGTGACTGAATCAAATGCTGAGATTAAATCTCTATTAAATGCTAAATCTAAGTATCAGGAAGAGCAAAAATTGTTCCAATTCTTAAATGGGTTGGATGAACAATTTGGAGCTATGAGAAGCCAATTGCTCATGCTCACTCCCCTGCCCACTGTTGACTGTGCTTGTTCTATGCTGCAACAAGAGGAGAGTCAAAGAGAGGTATTGCTCTCTTCACATATTGACCATGATGTTTCAGCTATGTATAGCAGAAACACAGGACACTCTGGAAATCCCAGAAATTCTGCAAACACAAGGCCTCAGAACTTTGTCACTGGTGATCTAAGGTCAGCTACTTGCTCTGTGTGTGGCATTAGGGGTCACACACCAGATAGATGCTGGAAAGTGGTGGGGTACCCCAGTTGGCACCACAAATCTAAGACTATTGCTGTGCAACATAGACCACAGGACTCTAAATGGGGCAAATCATCTCCAAAATTGGCTGATGTTGCTCAGACATCTGGATTGCTTGGGGCTCCAAGCTCTGGGAATGTGATTCTCACACAACAACAATTTGATCAACTGCTAAGATAACTTCCTGCTCATGTGAAAGGAGGTGATACAGATGATGAATTGGACCATAGCTTCTCAGGCATGGTGTCTTGTCATGCAGCTGATGTTGGTTCCAATGAGTGGATAGTTGACTCAGGAGCCTCGGATCACATGACATCCTCTCTGCAATTCATCACTAATCCCAGAATATGTCAGCCATCTCTTACTATCAATCTTCCTACAGGTGCTACATCCCAAGTGTCTCATATTGAGACCGTAGAGCTTCCTAATTCTCTTTATCTGAATAATGTCTTGGTTGTGCCAAATTTTAGGCATAATCTTCTTTCAGTTCATAAGTTGATGAAGGACTCACAGTGTGAAGTGTCTTTCAGCAACACGCACTGTATTATCAAAGATACTGTTTCTAAAAAGGTGAAAGGAATTGGAAAGGTCAGAAATGGACTGTATTATCTTTCACCTTCCTCTTTTACTGATGATCTTGTGTCTAATAGTCCTAAAACCTCTCAAACTTGCTTGAGTGTTAACTCTGCTCTTGCTGAAGTGTCATTTGCAATATGGCATCATAGACTTGGGCATGCTTCTTTGAGCAAGCTCAAACATATTCCATGTGTTAACAAAACAATATCTGAGAAAAGTCAAGTGTGTGTTACTTGTCCAATGGCAAAATTCACAAAATTGCCATTTGAACCGAGTTCTTCTAGAGCCTCTCAGTTATTTGAACTGATACACATGGATATTTGGGGACCTTACAAGGTCTGTACCAGGGGAAAATATAGGTATTTTCTAACAATTGTGGATGATCACTCCAGAGCTACTTGGATATATCTTCTGCAGCAAAAATCAGAATCCCTTTCCAAGCTCAAGGAGTTTTCTAATTATGCTGCAACTCACTTCAATCAGAAAATCAAATTTCTGAGATCTGATAATGCCCTGGAATTTCATGATCAATTTTGTCAAGAATTTTTTGCAGCACTTGGAATCATACATCAAACATCTTGTGTGGACAGACCACAACAAAATGCTAGAGTGGAGAGGAAGCACAGGCACATCCTTGAAATTGCTAGAGCATTAAGATTTCAGGCAGGGTTATCAATATCTTATTGGGGAGAGTGTGTCATGACTGTTGTACACTTGATAAATAGACTCCCAACTCCTGATCTGCAAAACAAGTCTCCTTTTGAGGTGCTGTTTAAAAGTGTTCCAGATTACTCACATCTTAGAGTTTTTTTATGCCTAGCTTTTGCAGCTAACCCTAGCACTATCTCTGATAAATTTCAGTCCAGGGGAGTACCATGTGTTTTCTTGGGTTACCCTATATCTCAGAAAGGCTATAGGCTTCTTGATATAAAAACAAAGAAAATTTTTGTCTCAAGAGATGTCACTTTTAATGAAACAATTTTTCCATTCAATTATCTTCTCTTGAGCATTATATGCAACCAGTTCCACTTGTTCTGTCTGATCAGAACAATTTCAATACTGCATATATGGATGAACTATCTGAGTTCAATCATAACACTGATATTTCTGATGTTTCAAACTCACCCACTTCCTCTCACCTTCATTCTTCTCCAATATCTCCTTCATCTCCTCATAACAATCACACTCATATTCCTCACAATTCTGTTCCTATTCCCAGTTCTGCTTCCCAATCACTTGATATTGATAATCAAGTTAGACACAGTTCTAGAGTCATCAAACCACCCTTTTGGGTGAAAGACTACATTCAACCAAAGAAAAAATCTGATATGCAGATTTCTAACCTTGCAGCTCAAGAAATCACTCAAGAATTTCACTGCTTTATGTCTTCTCTCAATACAAGTCAAGATCCAGTTCTGTACAAACATGCTGTCACTAACTCTAATTGGGTCACTGCAATGAATCAAGAACTTGAACAGTGTGAAAAGAATGGCACATGGCTTGTGACTGCTCTTCCTGAAGGTAAAAGGGCCATTGGATGCAAATGGATTTATAAAACAAAGTATAAGTCCAATGGTGATATTGAGAGGCACAAAGCTAGGATTGTTGTTTTAGGATACAGGCAACAGTTTGGTCTGGATTATAGTGAGACTTTTGCACCTGTTGCCAAAATGACAACTGTTAGGGCTTTACTTGATGTTGCTGCTATGAAAGGCTGGTTCACTTCTCAAATGGATGTCACTAATGCTTTCTTGCATGGTGACTTGGTTGAAGATCTGTACATGACTCTCCCTCAAGGCTACACTGGTTTAGGCTCTAGAATCAGTGTTGATTCAGAGGGCAAAACACCAGTAAAATCATCTCAGTTAGTCTGCAAACTCACTAAATCCTTATATGGCCTAAAACAGGCTCCCAGACAATGGTTTGTGAAATTGACATCTTCAATTGAAACCTATGGTTTCACACAGTCTAAGTCTGATTACAGTCTTTTCACTAGGACCCAGGATTCCTCTTTCACTGCTATATTAATTTATGTTGATGATCTTTTGATCACTGGTAATGACAACCAAGAAATAAGTGATTTGAAAGTTTTTCTTAGCTCTCATTTTCAAATGAAAGACTTGGGACCTCTGAGATATTTCCTAGGCCTTGAAGTTGATCACATTGCTCAAGGCATTTTTCTGTCTCAAAAGAAATATACTACTGATTTGCTGAAAGAACAGGGTATGATCAATGCTAAACCCCTCAAGCTACCTATTGATTCACACTTGCAACTCTCTTCTGATAAAGGCACTCCCCTTCCTAATCCTGTTCT